TCCTGCTGTTTCTAGCGTCGCCGCGCGGCCCCGACCGTACTTCGTTCCGCTCCTGCAGCAGGTTCTTGGTCTTACACCTCCTCCTCCTCCCTTAGAGGGTCCGCAGCCTGTCCGGTCACAGCCACAGCTACAGCCTGCCTCCCCTTTGCCTGCTCCTTCTCCCTATGCTGGTCCGACTGGAGGTCTTACTGAGCGTCGTGAGCCTGCGTCTCGTCCTGTGTCGCCTGTTCGTACTGAGCGCGCTAGTGGTCGCGGGTCGCGTCAGCGTCCTCCTCCTGTCCCTGGCACGCACCGGATGTCACTGCGTCCGTCCACTGCTCCTCTGCGTGCCCCTTTGCCTTCTCCTCCTGCTTCCTCTCTTCCTGCTCTTGCCGACCCGGAGTCGGACTCTCTTCGTGCTGCCAGTCCTACTGTCACGCGTCTCCTGGCTACTGCTGTCACTGACCCCTCCTTCGAGTCGTCTGCTGCGTCTGCCCTTGTCACTGAGCTTGTCGACTTTGCTGCGCGCTGTCGTCTAGACTACGCTGCTCGTCTTGTCACTGAGTCTGAGTCCGCCTGTCCTCCGTCCGTCGGGGGTGAGTGTGCCCTTGGCACGGACGTCCTTGAGGACAGGCAGGAGGAGTTCCAGTGTCTGGCCGCCGCTTCACCTCGTCTCGCGTCTGTACTGCTAGCCCCTGAGGGAGACCCGGATGCACCAGACATCCCGACTCCGCGCTCTTACGCGGAGGCGATAGAGGGTCCCTACTCCTCTCAGTGGCAGGCAGCTATGGATGCAGAGATGGCTTCCTGGAAGTCCACAGGCACCTACGTTGACGCTGTTCCTCCTCCTGGGGCGAACATCGTCAGTGGCATGTGGATTTTCAGGGTGAAGCGGCCGCCGGGTTCTCCGCCTGTCTTCAAGGCGCGTTACGTGGCTCGTGGCTTCAGTCAGCGGCAGGGGGTTGACTACTTTCAGACCTTCTCCCCCACCCCGAAGATGACCACTCTTCGGGTCCTGCTGCACGTTGCTGCTCACCGTGACTACGAGCTGCACTCTCTCGACTTCAGCACAGCTTTCTTGCAGGGCAGCCTGCACGAGGAGATCTGGCTGCGTCGCCCACCTGGCTTCACTGGGTCTTTCCCTCCTGGTACCCAGTGGAGTCTCCGGCGTCCAGTCTACGGTCTCCGCCAGGCGCCACGTGAGTGGCACGACACACTGAGGACTACGCTCGCGGCACTTGGGTTTGCTCCTTCTACTGCCGACCCGTCGCTGTTTCTCCGCACCGACACCTCTCTGCCGCCGTTCTACATCCTCGTGTACGTCGACGACTTGGTCTTTGCCACAGCTGACACTGCTGGACTCGCCTACGTGAAGTCCGAGCTGCAGAAGAGACACACGTGCACTGACCTGGGTGAACTGCGCAGCTACCTTGGCTTGCAGATCACCCGGGACAGAGCACGCCGCACCATTACCCTGACTCAGTCACACATGGTGCAGCAGGTCCTTCAGCGCTTCGGCTTCACGTACTCCTCGCCTCAGGCCACTCCTCTGCCTACTCGCCACTCGCTCTCAGCTCTGCCTTCGGATGAGTCCGTAGAGTCGAGTGGCCCGTTTGCAGAGCTTGTTGGCTGCCTCATGTACCTGATGACCTGCACACGACCTGACCTCGCATACCCTCTTAGCATTCTCGCACGCTTTGTTGCTCCTGGGAGACACCGACCAGAGCACATGGCTGCAGCGAAGAGGGTGTTGCGCTACTTGTGCAGTACGTCGGGCATGGGGCTAGTGCTTGGAGGGCGCAGTCCAGTGGTCCTCACTGGGCACGCAGACGCTTCTTGGGCTGACGACCAGGCTACGCAGCGGTCGTCACAGGGTTACACCTTCAGCCTTGGTTCCGGCTCTTTCTCGTGGCGGGCTACCCGCTCGTCTTCTGTTCTCGGCTCCAGTTGTGAGGCTGAGATCTACGCTGGGGCTATGGCTGCACAGGAGTTACGCTGGCTCACCTACCTGCTGACCGACCTTGGAGAGCAGCCTCGTTCTCCTCCAGTCCTGTACGTAGACAACAAGGCCATGCTGGCCTTGTGTCGAGAGCAGCGACTGGAGCACAGAACGAAGCACATTGCTCTTCGCTACTTTCTTGCTCGTGAGCTACAGCAGCGTGGACAGCTGCGACTTGCGTACGTGGCCTCTGAGGCCAACACTGCTGATGTCTTCACCAAGGCACTTGCGCCTTGTGATCATCAGCGTTGCTGCACGCAGTTGGGTCTTGTGTCTGTCTTGCCTCACTTGCTCTCCTCTTGACCTTGCTTGTACCTTCGCATATATATACTCTTGCTCTTGCTTGCTTGACTCTTGTATACCTCTATATATGATCTTGCATGTGAACTGGCCTTGTGGCCTTTGAACTTGTGCTCGGAATGCGTGGTGACTTTGTGATCCACCCTGAGCTTTGCTTTGCTTTGTTTGACTGGCCTTGTGACCCCTTGTTCTCCCCCACTTTGCCTATGGGGGTGTGTCAGAACATGTAGCTTACTTGTTTGTGTAGGCTATAGTGGGGTATCCCATAGGGGGTACAACACAATTAGGGTTTCCTATTTGTACTCACTTCGTTCATACTCATTTCATTCTCGTTCAATTCTTCTCACAGACATACCCGACCCTATCTTACTGTCATTCTCGCGAGTGTGACAGGGTTGCACGTTTTGTGGTTTCGCAGTTCGTCCGCCAAATCAACCGTGCGGCGATTTGTTCGTCGAGTTTCGTAGTCAGCCTCTGGTTCGCCCCGCGAACTACCGTCGCGCCAACACTACCTTGAGTTGCACGTACCGCGAGGTGTTGCAAAGTGGTAACCGTCGACGAAGGCCCGATTCGTTTCATGCACGAAAACTTTGATCCACGCCCTTCTGACCTGCCGTTTTTAACCACCGCCGCTCTGCAGGGCCCCCTCAGGCAGTACTAAACGACTTGAAGTCGTGGGGTCGTAGTGGAATGCTGTAGCCGACTCTATGTGGATAAGTTCACTTCATAAGTTCCTCCGTGGCATAGGTATCGCGGGTAACCAATCAAGGAAAGCCGCCAACTGAGCGACCTGTATCAGCACATCGCATCTCCTACGGTGCAGCACACGGATTCCCTGCTGGTATGGGACATCGTGGGTTTGACGTTTTTCACGCCCCGTTCGGCATGCTGTGGGTCCGACCAAGCCCATTCAGACGAGATGCACGTCAGGAGAAAGTGGAAAGATTGCGAGACCACACGAATATGTGTAGCAAAGTGATTCAAAACGATTGATATGATACGTATGCTCAAGTGGATAAGTGCACATATACAAATATTGTATGAGCAATTGAATATCTGATATTTAAGATTTTAAAACTATGTAAATTACATTATGCAAATGATATTATCATATAATAAAGTGGAGAATGTTCAAAATTTTACGTTTGGTTTTTCCAGATCCTATTTTACGTTTGTTTTGTTTGAAGAACACTCCTAATGTTATGAATGAACTTGCAGAGTGCGCAGTAAAACGAATAACGAGAATTAGAATCAGGGCGCGTTTTTATCCCGTGTTAACACGAAGCCAGACACGAATTTGAGGCTGGGAAGACCCAAAGGGACTCGGAATGCTGGCAAATTTAGGTTCGGAAGACACAAACCGAGTCACGGTGTGTCTTTCGAAGCTTTGACCTGAGTCTGACACGGGCTAGAAACGCGCCCTTACAGAATGATCGAACACACAAAGTGACGAGGGCTAAATAGGGGAAAAGCTAGCTAGGCGGGGAGGTAGGGCGAAGATGGCTCGGTGATGGTTGCGATTGGAGCGGAGGCCGACTCGGGAGTGGTTCGGCCGACGAAATACGCCGAACAGGTTCGGCGCGTGACCCTCGGGATGGCCTCACTAGTCCTTGTAACAGAGCCCGTATCTCACCAAAGCGAGTCATTCACCCTCGTCGCCATGCCTTCGCTTCTCCAGCTGCGTCACCGCCATACCACTTCAAGCAGGCGAATAGGGCGATTCGTGCACTCGGGCTTCATAGACTTTTAAGTCATAACTTGAAGCAGAATAGATTGGCGTTGCAGCATGTCTCTGCCGAGCCAAGTCCGCGTCGTTTAATCGACTTGAATGTGGCTCCACCTGCTCGGTTTCGCAGTAAACCAAGGCGCCGAAGCCATCAAACACTTTCACTCAACAAGCAATACCGCAGTTGCTGACCGCATATTAGTAGTGTTCGGCCCAACCACGGTTCCGCAATCTCGGCGTAGAGTGCGGGGAGGAGGGTAGTAACATGGCCGGCGAAATTGGCGACGCTCGCGAAGGATTCGAGTGGGTCCGCGAAGAGCTGCTCCGCGTGTTGAAGAGCCGGCGACGCCCGCTCGAGGGTGAGATGCGAGAAATCCACGGGGGAAGTTTCGAGGAAGGGCTGGGAGGAAGTGAGCGGAGAAAGGGAGGGAAGGGAGGCAGAGAAGGAAGAAGAGGACAGGGACGGAAAGAGAAGGGAACCATAAGATAAAGTTGGACGCGAAAAAACGCATAAGACGAGATTGTCCCGTGTACGGTGTACGTACTTTTGAGTCATTGTTTCTGAGCCGATGCACTAAGATGAGGCATTGTCCCACCTCTTCCCCATCATGCAATGATGGCATTCACACCATTTCATGCATGCATGATGGCATGATGGTTACAAGTGCCACATTGCCTGCCCCATACCACGCCTCAAACTGGTTTCTTGGTTTCTGAGCCAATTATAGATATAATCGGTTCCATGACCCCATCATGCAATGATGGCATTCATGCCTTTCATCCGCGCATGAAGGCATGATGGGCTACATCTACTACACTGCCCCATAAGATAAAAGTTTTGAGACGTCTCAAAACAACACTTTTATCATGCGGCATGATGGGCTACATCTACTTCACTGCCCCATAACATGGCTCAAACTGGCTTCTTGAATAATTATTTCTCAAAACCATCATGCCATCATGGCACATCTCCCTCTCTTTCTCTATTGGATGCAGCTCCTGGATTTGAGGAGGCGAGCTGGCAGGAGAGCAGCGAGACACTGGCAGGTGTGATTGTAGGAAGGGAGATTTTAGGAGGGGTGATTTTAGGAGGGGTGATTGTGGGAAGGTTTATTGCAGGGAAGGGTGATTTTAGGAAGTTTGATAATAGCAAGGTGACTGTGGGAAGGGTGTTTTTGGAAAGGGTGATTGTGGGAAGGGTGATTTTGGGAAGGGTGATTGTGGGAAGGGTGATTGTGGGAAGGGTGATTGCAGGACTTTATATATGCATAAAGGAGATGCTTCTCACTCACCTGCGTTTCTCACATGCATCGCATGATGCTCTAAATCTCCCCTCATCTCCTCTCTCTACCCTCCTCTCTCGTCCCCTCTCATTTCCCTCCTCTCTGCGCCTCCTCCTCATCTCTCGCAACAGCATTCCGTTATCCACTTGCACACATGCACTCTCTCCTCTCCTCCCTTACCCTCACCTCCCTCGCACCTCCCTTCCAGACGGCCACATCCTTGTTCGTCAAGAGATTGATCTGCTTACTGAGGTAACGCTTGGGGAGAGAGCAGGCCATGCGAGTGCAGGTTAGTGGTGAGACGAGTGGTACTCACCTGTTCTTTCCTACCAGGTGAGTATCACTCGTCTCACCACCAACCTGTACATACCCAGCGCAGCACAGGACACAGAGGGTGATTGCAACACATGCGAAGGTGTCTTATTGCACTTATAACGGATGCTTGAAATGCATGTGTCTGTTAAAAGTAGGCCTTTCTTGATCAATCAAAGCCTCAGGCTTTGCATGTGCTTCCCCTGCGCCTGTTTGTGTCTCCGTTTTTTGCAGCCGTTTTCTGATATGATGCCTCTCTTTCCCTCTTTGCTCTCCTTTTTCCCACCTCTCTGTCCACTCCTGCTGCTTCCTTCAACCCTCGTGTCTCTTTTTCCCACATCAATGTCCTCTCCTCCTGCTGCTGCCTTCAACCATCGTGTCTCCTTTTTTCCCACCTCGTCCAACCTCCTTCCCTGCTTACCTCCCCTGACCCTCGTTCTCTTCTCCACGAACGCACGAGTGCATGGAACAGGAGGGCGAGCAGGGCCGCATGCCTGTCACTATAATGAGTCTGCTTGTACCGGAGCACAGCAATGCACAGCAGGAGCAGGTGGAAGGGCATGGCCGGAGAGCAGCAGTGATTATACTGCACAGCACGGGCAAGAGCAAAGAGGCTCTGTTGGAGAAGCAGAAGGTGCGCGGTCCTCAAACCAGTAGCATAAATCTGCTGTATATTACAATTGAAAAAGCATGAGCAAGAGAAAAGAGTCTCCGTGTTTGACGTTTTTGAAAGAGTTGTGGCTCCATTCTCATGTCTCCGTGCCATGCCAGTTGCCATTCCCTCCCTACACACCAACCCCTCCACCACCCCCCTCCGCTCCCGCACCCTGTCCTCCCTGTCCCGTTTCTCAACCCTCTCACCCCAATGCTTGTGTGCAGGAGCTGGCGCGTCTCAATCTCATCTCCATCACATGTGACCTTCGCTACCATGGCGCCCGTGCCTCCTTGCCATACCGCTTAATCTCTCTCTTGCCTCCCCTTCCTACTTTCTTCCCACTCCACTCCCTACCCTTTTCCCCTCACCTTCCCACTTTCGTCTCCATGGCAGTCTCGTGTCTCAGTCTCGTTGCCATCACATGTGACCTTCGCTACCATGGCGCCCGTGCCTCCTTGCCATACCGCTTAATCTCTCTCTTGCCTCCCCTTCCTACTTTCTTCCCACTCCACTCCCTACCCTTTTCCCCTCACCTTCCCACTTTCGTCTCCATGGCAGTCTCGTGTCTCAGTCTCGTTGCCATCACATGTGACCTTCGCTACCATGGCGCTCAATCCCTCGCAGTCCTGTGCTTTCATCTCATGATATGCTGTAACACTTCCTCCCCTCTCACCCCTCTGCTCTGCATGCAGGAGCTGGCGAGTCTCAATCTCATCGCCATCACCCATGTGACCTTCGCTACCATGGCGCTCATCCCCTCCCAGTCCCATTCTTTCATTGCATGATATGCCATGACAGTTTCCTCCCCTCTCTCTCTCTCCTCTCCCTTCTCTGCGTGCAGGAGTTGGCGTGTCTCAATCTCATCGCCATCACATGTGACCTTCGCTACCATGGCGCCCGTGCGTCCTCTCCTGCTGCATACTCCGATGTATGCTGAACCCATGTCCCCCGCTTATCTCCACCTCCCTCCCAGTTCAACTTTTCCGTCTTCCTATCTCCTCCCCTTCTCCCCTCCCCATATTTCTTTTCCGAGTCGCTCCTTTCGAGCTCTCAATCATTCCAAGCTTTCACCTTCAATAATATCACACTCTCGTGTCACAGCTTGGACTTGTGTTGTTTCCGCTCCGCCTCCGTCCCTTCCTTGTTCATCTCTTGCTTCCCTCTCCTTCCTCCGCCAATCCTCACTGCCAGGCGTTGGTCAGGGCGTGGAGGACAGGCCAGGAGATGCCATTCCGCCTTGATCCGGTACTTGCCTGCTTCTACCCCCTTCCCTTCCCTTCCTCTTCACCTCTTGCTCTCCTGTCCTTCCCCCATCACCCCTCACTGCCAGGCACTGGTCAGGGCGTGGAGGACAGGCCAAGAGATGCCATTCGTTTTCGATCCGGTACTTGCCAGCTGTCTTTCAGGTGCCGTTTCAGGTGTTTTTTCCTCTGCCTGCGTATCAGGTGCTTTGTTGAAGCCGTTCAGGTGCCTCTTGCGCACTCTGCTATAGACTCGTGCTTATTTTTTCCTTTCATGGCATTGCCACACCACACCCAATATTGTCACTTCCCTGTCTCCTTTTTTTAGGCTCCTAAAAACTGTACCCATAGGTTCTCTGCTACATGCAATCTCACGGCCATTCAACTCACATTGATACCATGCACGCCTCTCACCCGTTTGTGACTGTTCCTCTCATTCCTCTTGTCAATTCTCCTCCCTTTCCACTCCCTCTTTTCGCCCCTATCCATCCAGGTGCGGGACGTGCTTCACCTCTATTTCACCTTCTCTCACAGCAAACATCATAGGCCCACTCTCACCCACTCCTACCAGTTCCTCCTCACTCTTCCTGTTTGAACCCATGCAGTCCTGAGACATGCTTCACCTCATGGACTATCTGGCAGCTGCTCACACTGACACCATCGACCCCTCTCGCCCACTCCTGCCCATTCCTCTCATTTCCCGCCTCGCCCCTTTCTCCCCCCCCCCCCCCCCCCCCCCCCCCCCCCCCCCACGCTGCCTGCTCCTCTTACTCACCAGGTGTGGGATGTGCTTCGCCTCATGGATTATCTCACAGCTGTTCACACGGACACCATCGACCCCTCACGCATCGGCATCACCGGCGTCTCCCTTGGCGGTATGCATGCATGCTTTTTCACCTGAAAGAAAACTTGTTTTGAGACGTCCCAAGACAGACACCATCGACCCCTCGCGCATTGGCATCACCGGCGTCTCCCTTGGCGGTGCGTGTTCCTTCCTCTTCCTATCCTATGGCGCCTCACAAATAGAGTCCTCCCTTCTGCGGTGTGACTGCCTAGCTCCGGCTGCTCCCACTCCCATGATCGGCGTGCAGATGGGTGGGTGGGTGGGAGGGAAGTAACCTTAGTAATTTTGTCGCATCTGATCCATGTGTCTGTGCCCCCTTTCCCCCCACCACCAGGCATGGTGGCATGGCTGGCGGCTGCAGCAGACCCTTGGATAGCAGTGGCTGCTCCCATGATAGGCGTTCAAGTGAGTGAGAGGGGAATAGCCCCTTGCACTCTTGTAACCCTCCTGCTCCCTTTATCACACCCACCCCTTCCCTCCCGTATGTCCCCCGTCCCTCCCCCTCCCTGTTCCCCCCACCAGGCATGGTGGCATGGCTGGCGGCTGCAGCAGACCCGCGGATAGCCGCAGCTGCTCCCATGATAGGCGTGCAGGTGGGTGGGGAGGAGAGGGGAGGCGTGTAGGTAGGTGGTGAATGGTGGGAGCAGGCTGTGCAAGTGAGGGCATAGCATGCCACTGCATACCCGCGGATAGCCGCAGTTGCTTCCGTGATACGCGTGCAGGTGGGTGAATGGTGGATAGGAAGTGGGGTGGGAGTGCAGGGGAGGGTAGAGGTCCCTCCCAGCCCCTAGTTGAGAAGGCATGGTGGTGGGATGACAGGCGTGTAGGTGGGTTGTGAGTGGTAAGTGGGAGGGCAGGTCGGTGCTTTAAGTTGCTGCTAACTACCTCCCCTCTCCCTTCACTCTCCGCACTCTTTACTACGGTACTACCAGTGCTTCCAGTGGGCAGTGGGCATTAACTGTTTCCGTGCCCGAATGGCCTCTTATAATGCTCACTCATCATAATCCCCACACGCATCTCCCCCCTCCTTCCCTACGTTGGCAGATACGAGTATCACGTATAATACGCTAGCGTATTATACGCTGGGTATATACGCGGTACGCCAGGGGTGGCGTACTGGTGATACGTAAAAATACGCTGGGCGGGCAGGTAAAACTTTTTTTCCCGGGCAGGGCCTGTTTCAGGGAGGGGGTTATGTTTCCCAACATCACATGTCATTATTTAATTTCATAAAAATCCAGAAATACATCTTTGGGGCTACTTCTCTTCTCCCCACCCCATACATCCCCACCCCACCCTCTAGCTAGCTTCCCCACAGCCGAGTTCCTTGCGGGGCTTTTCCAACACCACCCCTGCCCGCAGTGAACAGAGGCAACATTGCTCGTCGCAGCAGGAGGGGTGGAGTTAGACGCCATGAGGAAAAACGGGAGAAGAGAGCTACGGGAATGAAAACGACCACGGAAACTGAATGACACAAAGGAACTCGTCATCCATTATATGAGCAGATGAGTTGCTGAACAACATTTGAGAGGGATGGTTGGAGATGAGAGGTTTGGTGGGGTGGTGTGTGGTTGGGGTGGTGGGAGGTTTGGAGCTCGAAATTTGAATTTCAGAAGTGGGTTGGGCGATGTGCGACTTCGCGGTAACATGTCGCGAAGTAGCAATTTCGATTTTTTTTTTCGGCGGGCTGCCCGGGCGTATTTTCAAGAAATACGAGAGTATTAGCGTACCACGTACATACGCAAGCGTATATATGTGGTACGCAACCCTGCCCAAGGCGTATCTGCCAACGTAGCTCCTTCCTCCCCCAGTGCTTCTGCTGGGCGGTGGACAACACCTGCTTCCACGCCCGAGTGGCCGTCAATTGAGTTCACCCACTGCACGCTTCCCTTCCTCTCCCTCCTCTTTTCCTCTCCTCTCTCTCCCCCAGTGCTTCCGCTGGGCGGTGGACAACAACTGCTTCCACGCCCGAGTGGCCTCCATCCCACATGTCTTCAACGGTAAACAACTCCTGGCTCTTTCGCTGCGTTATGTCTTTCCGTCGCTGTGCTAGCTCTTTCCTTTATCAGGTAAGTGAGTAAAAGGGCTGAGGGTAAGCAAGCTTGCAGCCCCTCAACTTGGTTACCACACGAAATCAGGGCTATGTGTGTGTGCGTTCTATCATGTAACTTCAGTCTAGCCCTGATTTTACACACCCTGCCCTGGTTTCCATCTTCGTTGTTTCTCGTTCTTGCCTGCTTTTCTCCTCACCGTGACTCTGCGCCGTGGCTTGTGCTTTTGTGCTTTCAACATGTCCTCACCATCTTTGTCGTTCTTTTGTGCTTTTCTCACCTCACCTCAACAGCAGCAGCAGAGGACATGGGGAAGGCACACGTGGACGCTGAGGTGGTCACAGCAGTGAGTGTTTTGTCCTTACAGTCGTCCTTGTTTATTCACTCCTGCTTGCTTCTCTCCTCACCTCACCTCAACAGCAGCAGCAGCGGATATAGGGAAGGCACATGTGGATGCTGAAGTGGTCACAGCATTAGGCCCCTTCTTTGTGCAATTTTGGTTGTCTGCTGGGTGTCTCCTAGCTTTCATTTGGTCTTTGGTATTGTCCATGCTCGCTGTAATCATTGGCTCACCTCATACCCTTTGTTGTGCGAGGCACATGTCAATGTAATCAAATACCCTTCGGCATTCGAACCCTATATCCACTTTCTGCATCCCTCCTTTTCTCTGCCCACATTGTTAGAACTTGAGGTTTAGAATCGATACATTAGTAATGAGCTCAAGGCTCTTTAAGTACATCGGAAATGGGCAAGGTAAGGATGGGGAGAGAATCGGGGGCAATCCTAGGGGATTGGGGGTAATCCCAAGGCAATCTCCAATTGGTGGGTTGGAGATTGCTTGGAGATCAAATTTGGGTTTGGTTGGAATGTGGGTGTACACCCAACCAAACACAAAGTGCACACTACACTAGGATATAAAAGTGCAAGTACAAAATGTGAGATTGAGGGCTAACACTAACACATATATCTTTCTTGGAATCCCCATCCCAATGTACCATCTTCTCTCGTTTCCAGCCATCTTCATGTCATGACTGCAACACCTCCGCTCGCTCACCTCCGCTCTCTATCCTCTCTCCTTTTCCCTCCATGCCCAGGTGTGGAACCGCATCACCCCCGGGTTGCTGCAATGGTTTGGCCCTCACAACTCCCTACCAGCCGTCTGCCCCCGTCCGCTGCTCATTCTGAATGGTAAGCGCGTTTCCCCTCACAACCAAAATCACACGCTGATTGCTGCTGCTGTTCAGCCCTCAGACGGGCAGTTCCGCCCGTGTCTCCTTGTAACAAATTCACACACTGGTCACAGCTGTCTTCCAGCCATCTGCCTCCAGCCACTGGTCTTTCAGAATGGTATGCGTGTGATTTAGTTCAGTTCCTCTTTGCAGGGAAATATCCTGCCGCAAACCACTGCATAATAAATACCCGGTTTCAACATAGGATTGTATAGCTCAACGGACATGCTACAGCGTCGGGTTTAATTTAAACCAAAACCGTTTGTTTTTTTGTTTTTTTTTTTGTTTTTTTTGTTTTTTTTTTTTTTGGCGTTCGCCTGCATCAACCTGAGTGGCAAACTGGGAGTACGTCGTCCTTGGGAGCGTCATCGGGCATCGACATGCACTTTGTTGAGAGATCGAGGGTATGGCGTACACTATGCGGCACCTAGACACGCTGGAGGAGAAAACATTCTGATTTCAGGACTGGCACCTTGCCTCGCAAGTTCTGGAATCGGAAAATTTTCTCCTCCAGAGTGTCTAGGTGCCCCACTGTGTACGCCATCCGCAGTAGTTTGCTGGTTCTGGCTAGATTGCCGTTGACATCCAACACCGCTTCCGCTTCAGCAGAATCGTAGTGACTTTTGAGTCGACTCAAAAAGTCACCCCAACACCACTTCAGAAAAATCGTAGTGACTTTTGAGTCGACTCAAAAAGTCACCCCAACACCGCTTCAGCCAAATCCTAGTGACTTTTGAGTCGACTCAAAAAGTCACCCCAACACCGCTTCAGCCAAATCCTAGTGACTTTTGAGTCGACTAAAAAAGTCACCCCAACACCGCTTCAGCATCGTGGCTCGGAATGCCCTGGGGGACTTCGTTGTTGGTACTTTCGGCTCTTTTGATGTCGCGTAGATATGTTGAGCTAATTCACTCGCTTCGACTAAGCTGCATGCATGGACACGATGTTTCTGTGGGTAGGAGCTGATATATTCATTTCACACCACTCCACTCTCTCAGCTGCCTCTCTGCCACAGTGACACAGTACAGCAGAAGAGAGCGGCCTGAGGTGTCCTGTCGAGGGGACAGGCACCCTTGAGTCTGTTTACGTCAATAAAGTAGAGTCTTTCACATAAACTGAGTCTGTTTCACACCCCTCACTCACTCACTACTGCATTGACACAAGATGGCAGGGGAGAGCGATCGAGGTGTCCCTTTGTGTGGCTGAGGGGAGCAGTGCAGCGAGCACGCACTCTTGAGTTCCTTTCACACCAGCTGAGTCTTTTTCACATCACCTACTCACTTGCCTCTCTACTGCGTTGAAACAACATGGCAGGGGAGACCGATCCAAGGTGTCCCGTGGAGGAGCTGAGGGGAGCAGTGCAGCGAGCAGTGCTCATGATTCTCTTTCACACCATTCACTTACTTGGTTGCCTCTCTGCTGCTTCATTGGCACAACATGGCAGGGGAGACCGATCCGAGGTGTCCCGTGGAGGGTTTGAAGGGAGCAGTGCAGGGAGCAGAGGAGGCGTACAGCCGGGCAGGAGTGTCGGACCACTTTGAGGTACGTGCATGGGGGCTAATTTCCACTCTAGCTTGTAGAAGTGCACATGAGGGGTTGAGGGGAGCGGTGCAACGAACAGAGGGTCAGAGGCGACGTATAGGAAGGCAGGGGTGGCACACCACTTGGAGGTTGACATGGGAGCTGCATTGCGGTGTCTTTTGAGGCGCCTCAAAAGCCATTGCGCTGTTCTACCCTAGCACCTCGAAGTACGCGTGAGGGGCTGAGGAGAGCAGTGCAGCGAGCAGAGAGGATGTGTAGGAAATCAGGACTGGCACACCACTTTGAGGTACACACTATGATTACTGCTGGGTCTCGTTCTGGCCTTTAGTAACTGCGAGCCCTGAGTGCCACCACACCACCTTGAGGTAAGTGTGGGGGTCTCGCTGCTGTGTCTCGCGCCCCAGCTTTTACGCATTGCAACATCCCTTGAATTTTGCTTGAGATTTTCCTCGACCTATCATCCCTCCATCAACCCGCTGTCCTGCCTTTCTCACATTCTCACCCACCCACCACTTATGTGCTCCACCGCATGCCCCCACCACGCCCTTGCTCCACCTCATGCCCCCACCACGCCCTTGCTCCACCTCATGCCCCCACCACGCCGTTGCTCCACCTCATGCCCCCACCACGCCCTTGCTCCACCTCATGCCCCCACCACGCCCTTGCTCCACCTCATGCCCCCACCACGCCGTTGCTCCACCTCATGCCCCCACCACGCCCTTGCTCCACCTCATGCCCCCACCACGCCCTTGCTCCACCTCATGCCCCCACCACGCCCTTGCTCCACCTCATGCCCCCACCACGCCGTTGCTCCACCTCATGCCCCCACCACGCCCTTGCTCCACCTCATGCCCCCACCACGCCCTTGCTCCACCTCATGCCCCCACCACGCCCTTGCTCCACCTCATGCCCCCACCACGCCGTTGCTCCACCTCATGCCCCCACCACGCCCTTGCTCCACCTCATGCCCCCACCACGCCCTTGCTCCACCTCATGCCCCCACCACGCCCTTGCTCCACCTCATGCCCCCACCACGCCGTTGCTCCACCTCATGCCCCCACCACGCCCTTGCTCCACCTCATGCCCCCACCACGCCCTTGCTCCACCTCATGCCCCCACCACGCCCTTGCTCCACCTCCCCTCCTGTATCTGCTGCACCTTTGTATGCCATGCGAGCTGGGCCAGTCCCATGTGGAGCAGGGGGTGGGGCATGAGGTGACAGAGGCAATGTGGCACAAGGCTATTGCATGGATGCAGAGACACCTAGTGGTGCAATGATGGGGAGTCACTCGTGTGCATGCGAGCTGGGCCAGTCCCATGTGGAGCAGGGGGTGGGGCATGAGGTGACGGAGGCAATGTGGCACAAGGCTATTGCATGGATGCAAAGATACGTGGTTTTAAGGCGCCTCAAAACGAGGCGATGTGGCACTTGGCATTTACATGGATGCAAAGATACCTGGTGTCGAAATGACTGGGATTAGGGGAACCGCGCAGATGCTACTTTGATCTAGGGCTATAACCTTATGTAAATATCATAATTTTTAAACAAATTGATGTTTTTCAAAATTGTGTATTGTGAATGCGAAGCTGCCTGTACTTAATATTTGGTAGCGTCGAAACGTGCTAAACGCCCTTCTCCAACTACAAAAACCGTGGGTTGGACTTCCTTCCCTCCACCCACGTTTCTCGTTTTCCAACGGTCAGTCAACATTTCCGTTCGAGTAGTTCTTTTCCCCGTCCAATCTGGCTAGAACTCGCACTCTTCCTAGAGGCGAGTCACCCTCAACACTTCTGCAAGACCACAATCGCTCTACAATGGCGTCTACGCTGTCACTTAACCGAGGCAATTCGTCTGCGCCGAGTTCCGACCGACCGTAACGCCCGAGAAATGACGGGCGATCGCCGTATCAAGCGGCGGGCAGAGGAAGGATCGCCCGCCCCAACTGCCGTGGACGTGCTGTTGGGCGGGCTCAGTCAGAACATTATAGCTTATACATTTGTGTAGGCTGTAGTGGGGTAGCCCATAAGGGGTACAACCCAATTAGGGTTAGTACTTGTACCCAACTGTTTCATAGTTCATTCATCCATTCTCATTTCTCGTCATGGTATCAGAGCTGCAGCAGCGTGGTCAGCTCCGTCTCACCTACGTGGCCTCTAAGGCCAACACTGCTGATATCTTCACCAAGGCCCTTGCGCCTTGTGATCATCAGCGCTTCTGTACTGTGCTAGGCCTTGTGCCCACCTGGCCTCACTTGCTCACTTCTTGATCTTGTTTGTACTGTACTCTTTCTATACCTGCACTTGCTTGTTTACCTTTATATATATGTTCTTGCATGTGAACTGGCCTTGTGGCCTTACTCTTATGCTCGGACTGTGTGGTGACTTTGTGATCCACCCTGAGCTTGCTTTGCTTTGCTTGACTGGTCTTGTGACCCCTTGTTCTCCCCCACTTAGCCTATGGGGGTGTGTCAGAACATTATAGCTTATACATTTGTGTAGGCTGTAGTGGGGTAGCCCATAAGGGGTACAACCCAATTAGGGTTAGTACTTGTACCCAACTGTTTCATAGTTCATTCATCCATTCTCATTTCTCGTCAGGCTCGAGGTCAACAAAAACTCGAGCCCGCCCCAGTAGCAGCACCCCTCGGCCCCTGTGGCGCCTGAGGCACGTGTGGCGCAAGTGGCGACGGCGGCACCTGCAGCAGCTGTGGCGCCACACACGCCTGACGAGGAGCACACGCCGACGCGTGTAGCTGGACCGTCGCGTCAGCGCCAGAGGCGCCGAACAACGACTTCCTCTGACGCGACAACCCGGCGTTGACCAACGCGTTGACTCCGGACCAGGTCGCCACGCTTCTGTCCCTGTTACAGCAGCAGCTTGCCAGCATTACAGCTACGGAAATTGCACAACCCGCGGCCTCTGCATCTGCTAAACATGAAAACACAAAAAGAGAAAAAGGAGCGCGATGAACAACGGCGAACCAGCACGACAAGGAAGCACCGGCCAGCATCCCACCTGCGCTAGCGGCCGACAATGACACTGACGACTGCGACGACGATGATGGTGAGGCTCCGGTCCATACCACAAATTTTAATTCCATGGAGCATCTTCCCCCCCTCCCCTCTACTACTAACACCACTTGGTCGGCAGCGACGTTCAACGATGCACGCGTGCGGGCGAAAGCGGAAATTCTGGAGGACATGCGGGCTTACCTGAAACACGCAGAGTACAAGCTGCAGCAAGGCGACTTGGCGGGCGGACTCGAAATGGTCGTCGCCGCCCTCGACGACATTTCCGCGCGCTTCGACATGTTTCAAGCCGAAGACGCATCCGACGACTGCGTTGCCAAGCGCTACAAAATGTACCTGCAGAAAAGTCTTCTCACCTCGCGGTCGTTCAAGCAAGCTGTCGCGGACGTGGCTGCCATGGACCGAGCGGCGGGCGGTCACGCTCGCTCCCACCGTGGTGGAAACCACGGCGCCATGGCGTTCGCCCCAAAACGTGGCCCTCCGACCTCGGGCAACTTCCAAGGCTTTCGTGGTTCGTGTTTCCGCTGCGGCCAGCCAGGCCACGTCGCCAATGGCTGCCCTCGGAATGGGCATGGGGGTCAAGGACCCGCACCGGTTGTATAGGGTTCGGGCTATGGTGAAACGCGCCACTAGGCGCGATGCACGGTGCACTCTTGAGTGCTTAGACCGTGGGCAGCCTAGTAGGGCTTGCGGTGGCCATGGCCAGCCTTAGGATAGGTGTAGAATGTGGCCATAGGCCTAGCTTTGGGGAAGAAGAAGAATGCCTCTCGGTCCCCTAGGATAGGGTAATAAAGTATGGCCGTAGGCCTAGCTTTGGGGAAGAGGAAGAATGCCTCTCGGTCCCCTAGGATAGGGTAATAAAGTATGGCCGTAGGCCTAGCTTTGGGCAAGAGGAAGAATGCCTCTCGCTCCCCTAGGATAGGGTAATAAAGGCCCTGTTCGATAGCACTTTGGGCCCCCACGATGCAACCATTTGGTTTGGCTTTGTCGCCCAAATGGTTCAGCATCGCGATAAAATGCAAGTGGTTTAGCCTCGCCGGCAGTGTAATTATTGCGACCGACCCACTACCGGCTCAATTAACCAAATACAACGGCCAGCATGGCCGAAAACCACCACCCCAACAGCCCATTGACGGGAACTGTTCCTCGTCGAGGGTTCCCCCAGATGTCACTGGGCCGCGGAAAAAAAGGCCAGGAAAAATGTTAACGACAACAAAAAATAGGCCCCACAACGCACAGCTCCTCCCACAAACAACGCCCAAGTCGAGAAGGTTGAGATATGCCTGGCTTTGCGGGTTTTCTTTTTTCCCTTCATCTGGGCAGTTAGGCTTAGGGAAACCTGTAGTTTAGACTATCCCTAAATACCCCATTGGTCTGGCACTGGGGCGATCGATTTGAAAATCAACATTGGTAATGACCCCACAATGGTCTGGTGTGTTACTAGGCGGGGGCTGTAATCATTAGGCGGTTGTAACTGTTCCTGCGCGCTGTGAGGTCAAATTACGTTGAAATACCCACCAAGTTTTTGCAGTAGCGCGGGAAAACTTGGGGGTCGCAGGGGGGTCGTTCGCGCTGGCGGGAGTTTTTTACCATCGCATGGTGTCGCAAACCGTTTCCCGCCACAGCTTTGAGGTCACCTCAATGATTTCCGGGCGTGGTCACCCTCGCTATCGAACAGGGCCAAAGTATGGTCGTAGGCCTAGCTTTAAGGAAGAGGAAGAATGCTTCTCGGTCCCCCGTATGCCCCAATTGATGGGATGAGAAGCATGCTAGTAGGCATGACAATGTATGACCATGAGAGATATGGATTTTATTAAAGCCCCCCTCTGGTTTGCGAAGGATCACAAAAAAAAAAAAAAAAAAGGTGGGGGCGAAACGCGAGGAGGAGAAGGGGAGAGGGAGAAAAAGAGAGTACGCACGTTCCTCACTCAAACCGCCACCATGCATGGCAAGGAGGGGCAGCCCTGGTTCAACCTTTGGAAGACCAAAAAGGGCGAGAAGGAGCAAGGCATTGAAAAAAAAAAAAAAAAAAAAAATAGTGAAGAGGGGGAGAGGGGGGGGCATACCGATGTGCCTAGCCCAAGTGAAGGCACGAGCCCATGGCAATCAAAGCATGCAAATGCTCAAACAATAATGGAAACACATACAAAAAGAGAGGGAGAGAGAGAGAGAGAGAGAAAGAGAGAGAGAAAGAGAGAGAGAGAGAGAGAGAGAGAGAGAGAGAGAGAGAGAGAGAGAGAGAGAGAGAGAGAGAGAGAGAAGCATGATCCAAAAAAATGAGGGGAGGGAACAGGAGAGACTATGGGAAAGAGTTGGCCAAGGTGCGATCGGACACCCTATGTGGAATGATGACGAACCGTCCGTATGGTTCTCACTGTTGACGGTTCATCTTTTGCGCATGCACGTATATGTCACACGCATTTACAAATTAAGGCGTGTAACTTGATTGGTCCCGTTCATTTCCTTGCCGTACATACAGGAGCATAACAATACGAGGTGCCTCGCAACGATGGCCTGTACAAATTCGCCATCACAGACAAAACCGTCACACGGATGTGCAGTCGGCTTCGCTCGACCTTTGCAAGGTGGAGCTCATGGTGCCCTTCCAGCCTCGTCCTATCCATAATCGTTAACGGTTACTGGCTTCCATAGAGCCATGGCCCACCACAGGCCTTCCGGAAGCGTAACCACGTTGGTGCATACGCGCATGCTACGTTCACACGTACTGCCATCCAAGAACTCATAGAGACCGGAGCTGCAGTCGAGACAACCGCAAGCGAGCTTACGTGCATCAGCCCACTTAACGTGTTCGAAAAAATGCAGGCTCATCCTCAACCTGAGAAAAGTCAACGCAAACCTCATCGTTCCAATATTCAAGTACGAAGGACTCAGCCGCGTGGCAAACATGGCACGCGCTGTGGATTGGATGTTTTCTATTGATCTCAAATCCGGGTACCATGACATCGACATCCATCCCTCATGCTGGAAGTTTCTCGGTTTTGGATTCGATGGGCGCACTTACTCCTTTCGTTCATTGCCGTTCGGTCTTGCGACAGCCCCATTCGTCTTCACGCAACTCATCAAGCAGCTAGCCCGCCGCTGGCGGGAGCAAGGCATTCGAGTAGTACCATACGTGGACGACATGTTATTCCTCTGCCAGTCAAAAGCCTACGCGCAGGCCACTTGCCACCGTGTAATACTGGACCTTAAAGCAACGGGTTTGGTGATAAATGCGAAGAAATCACAGCTGTCACCATCGCAACACCTTCGATTCTTGGGTGTGAAGCTTGACACGGCTATCGGCGGATTTACCATCGGTCCGGAACGACGAGCCTCACTACATGCAACCATTCGGAACCTGTTGAGCGCAAGCAAGGCATGTCGACTCGTCTCAGTTCGCCAAGTATCCAGAATCATAGGCATGCTCGCGTCAATGGGCGTCGCGCTGGGCGCAACAGCTCGTGCTTTCAGCCACGCCATGCTACAAGTGATAAATGACGCACCTTCATGGAAAAGCAGCGTGATCATCCCCCCACCCGCGGCTGAGGAGCTAAACTTCTGGCTCGAAGAGTTTGATAGTTTCAATGGTGCACCGTTTCACGTTCGAAACAGCTACGATGTTGTAATCCATGTGGATACTAGCGCTCATAGTTGGGGCACCACTTTAACCACATTCCCTGGCGGCCTCGAAGAAGCTAGCGCAACAATGCCAGAGCCACTGCGAGTGACGTCCAGCACAAGGAGGGAGATCAAAGGAGTGCTTTGGGCACTCCAAACATACTCCAACAAGATCACGCACAAACATGTTATTGTGCGGATTGGACAATCAGGGTGTCTTCTTCATCCTTCGCAAAGGTGGCTCGCGCAACCCTGACCTTACTACGACCTGCCAAGGCATCATTCGGATATGCATGGAGCACGGCACGCGTCTAATCATCGAATGGATCCCACACGAGCCAAACTCACACGCCGATGGGCTCTCAAAAGCTGTCGATCATGACGACTACTCGTTGAAGACGCCGGGGTTCCGCAACTTAGAACGGCGTTGGGTTCCCATTCCATCGACCTCTTTGCAAACTCCCGCAACTCTCAGCTGCCACGCTTCTGCACGAAAATTCCTCATCCACAAGCCACCGCAGTAGATGCATTCTCGCTTGCATGGACATTAGAAAATAGCTTTGCTTTCCCCCCGTCCCTTTTAGTACCGGCCGTCCTCCATCACGCACAGTGCACCCATGCATCGCTCACACTGATCATCCCACACTGGCCGGGTGCAAACTGGTGGCCACTCCTACAACCTTCCCCACGCAACTGGGCACCGTATATCCACGCGCACATTCCCTTGACACACAGCAGCCAATGTCTCACAACTGGATCACATTCCGCTGCATTTTCAGGCACTGGATTACCACACAGCCCAATAATCGCACTTTGGGTGGTTTTTGACTAATTGAGAGTGTACGCGCCTTGTGTCCAAAACTGCTTTCAAATCTACACAACCAACTCATCAACATGCTCACACAATCGCGAGTGAATTCGACGATCCGTACATACGAACTGTACTAGGCCAAGTTTCAGGCCTTCTGCACAAAGGTGGATCTTCCATTTCTTCTCGCATCCGACATGGCCCTCGCGCTATACTTGGTGCACGCAATCCAACGCAGAGCAACCTTGTCTGTAGTACAGCTCACGTGCTCAACAGTCAGCTTCGCCCATCGCATGACTGGAAGCAAATGCCCGACTGTCGGACCGTTTACCAACCAAGTGCAGGACTACGCGAAACGACACTGCCCTCGCCCTAGTCGTTTGAAGGAGCCCGTATCAATCCAACAAGTTCGGGACATGTCCGCGAACTACTTGGAGTCGGACAATCCCACTGAATTTTAGAAGGGGTTGATCCCTATTCTCATGTACTCCAGATTTTTGCGATACTCCGACCTGGCTGCCATCCAATGGAAAGACATCCAATTTGACGACGAAGTCACGTGGATCCTCATCCCACACCAAAAAACGAACAGGATCTTCAAAAGGATGGACAGGTGGCAAAGTGACAAAACCAAAGAGATGTACGTCACACCATACGTCGGACATCTTATCAAGGCATCCCGCGACCTACAGGACCCGACATACGCACTGCCCCCAGAACAGCACGCAGATGCACTCTCATGCAACTGGAAGCCCCCGCTACCCATATCTCAGAGGCCCCAGTTGCAATGTGTAAGGAAATTCCCTTTTCCTTACTTCGCGTCCCTGCCCAGCGCGTACGTCACTGTAGCACCTCAGTCAGCACCGTTACCACTCGCGACCATCGCATCATTCATCATCCCGCCTTTTTCGCACATCGCATCCCGACCTCACGGCTCGGCTGGTAACCCGCGCTCCGGGCCTACGCTTCGACACTTTCCCAACCTCAGTCCCAGGCTCGACGCGCGACAACCACAATCCATTACCGTTACCACTATTGTTTCGCTATATAATCCTTCGCTCATGCCTTCGCTCATTGTACTTTTGCTTCGATAGTGCAATTCGCGTTCCTTCACTCAATTGCACACGTAACACTTGGTATTCAGAGCCTACGATCTCATCTCGGACCGCATCCACACCTTCGCTTCCCACTATCTCAATTTTTTGGGGGGGGTAGACGTCTCTCAGCGACACAGCACCGCCGCTCGAAGTGCTCTCTCGCAAGCACGCACGGCCACGAACGAGGCTCTCGCTGAGCTTGCCCGACACCCCCGCCATGGCCGACCTCAATCTCGCCACGTTGACGCAGGAGCAACTCGATCGTCTCGTGCGGCAATTGGAGGATTCGGCGCTTGAAATCGCGACGCTCACGGCGGAACGTGACTCCGCCCGTCAACAGTCAACGGTGAATGCTCCGACAACATCCCACGCACCAACCAATGTCTCTGTACATTCGGAGGAGCCGATTATCATTTCATCCGGCACACCAACGCAACACAACAGCACGGGACAGCGCTCAGGCGCAGCCAGTGACGGCGCAGCCCAACCGATGCCCGGCATGGGAGGGAACAGGAGCACGCTAAGCCCACGGGAGCCCCGAGAAGCCCGTCGGCACGTGGAGTTTGCGACGACAAGTGGTGAAAACGCCATGATGGCCCCAATGCCACTCAAGCCGCAAGGCCCGCCCTGCTTCGACCCAAGCCAACGCGGCGGCCCGACAGTTCAATCGTGGGTCTTCACGATGAATGTGATTTTCGACGCCAACTACGTCGAGTCGGACGCCGCCAAAATTCGGTATGCGGTTTCACTACTCAGGGGCCCCGCCATGGACTGGTGGCGAGTCATCGTGACGTCGCCACGCGCCTACGAGCCACCGTCGCACGAGGAAGGGCCCTCGGGTCCAGCTGACACCTGGATTTCGTTCTGCGAAACAGCCCAATACAGCACGTGGGATGCGTGGTGCGCAGGGCTTCGGGCGCGTTTTGAGCCGATCGCGGCTTCGATTTCGGCGCGTCAGAAACTGCGCACTTGGCGCCAGCTCGGGTCGGTTCAAGACTACACCAGCGGTTTTCTCGCACTTTGCGAACAGGTCGGCTACATGCACGAGGCGGAGCGGATGGACCGTTACGTCGGAGGGCTGAAGCCGGACATATCGCACGAGATAATGCTACGCGGGCTATCGAATTTCAACGAAATCCTCGCGCTCGCCGAGAAAATCGATATCCTACGCCGACCGAGACCGGGGTCCTATTTCGGACATCGCCCTCGGGGACCGATCGAGCACGCCACTGTACATGCCGTCGCAACGAATGCAGCTGCCACGCCATTTAGAGGGCGCTGCTTTGCTTGCAACCGGCCGGGCCATCGCAAGAGCGAATGTCCAGAGGAGCTGAGGCGTCGAGGAGCAGAGCAGGGGAAGGAGTCTCAGAGGCAGGGAAACGCCAGCAGTCAGTAGAAGTTGGGCCAACTACTGACGAGACTGCCTGCTCGCCCAACCACAACGACCCTCACCGAGTCACAGTACCGATTCACGCCATCGACCGGGCTCGGATGAATAAGGAGGGTACAGCGACGGATTGCCCGGTACTGATCTACGGGAAAATACAGGGAGCAGCAGTGAAAATCTTCATTGACGGAGGAGCAAGTCACAGCTTAGTTAATACTGCAACCGCACGGAAATTACAGTTAACACTTAACCGATGTTTACCTGAGATAGATGCACGCTTAGTCGACGGCACGCCTTTGGCTATACGAGAAAAAGTGGAGCGAGTAAAAGTCCGCTGCGGGGGAAACTTCGGGTTTACACAGGAAATGCT